GTTCAGGACTGATGGAGTTTTTGTCCAGTTGGCCTCATTTTTTCCAAATGTAATTTCTAGCCAATAACTAGAGTTATAATTCTTCAAGAATCATGCAAGTAGCCACAATTTCTTCAATGGGTGCTCAGATTAGAGTAATATAAAATGTGCGCAACCTGAACAGTGATTTTTTTTTACCTAGGCTTTTTGTCTTTAAGTCACTTGGTGGATGACTTCTAAAAATAGGAAAGTCATTTATCTTAAGGAGAATAATGGCCTATAAAACATAGAGGAAATTTCTTCGTATTTATAAATCCTTTCCTCATGTTGTGAATAACCTTTTTAATGAATGCTCTTTCTCCTTCATGAAGGTATTATGAGCAAGTATGTCCTCAGATTTTAGATGTCCTATACTTCATTCCCAGGTTATGGACTACCCACTCTCCTGAGAAGGACTAAATAGTCTCTAATCCCATGGACGATGTTGGTCCTAATTGCCTGGAACTCCTAGTGAGCATGGGATCTTCTTTAGACATTATGCAAATGCAAAAACTCCATCTAGAGTTCAGAATAGATCCTTAAAAAAGAACTGCTGGATCCCAAATGGTCTCTATAGTGCAAGCTTTCTGTTTTGGTCGCATATGGATTGCTTAGTTAGGATCTTCTAGCTATTTGCACTTATGTAGCACCTCTGTTCCTATTTGGCAGTACAAAGATTGCTTAAAAAAGCAGAATGAAAATTTTAAAAGACTAATGAAAACAAGAATTCTGGTCCTGAACACAGATATAAAAAGAATATTAATCCTTTCTCAGACTTGTACCTAGAATGAGGTGCAATTATGAATAGAAAGATTATTTGAGGTTGTGACAGATTTGATGAAAGAACATTCAGCTGCTGTCAGAAGCAAAGTTATTATATTGCTGCTAATAAGTATTCATCAGATTTCTGGGGAGTTGCATTACACCAAATAATAAAAGGTGTGAATGTCAGCTCTTTTGGGGTAGGTAAGAACTAGAAGAAAGCAGCTCCCAGGAATTCCAATCCAAACCCCTTGTCTCTGTTGACCTTTTTTTTCCATATTCTCTAGGCTAGTCCATTTTCTGCCCAGTGAAGCCTTGGTAAAGCTCCAGCCTAGGAAACCCTCCATCCTCTGCCTCATTCACAATGGTCTGAAACCAGAGGGTCCTTCTGTGTGCCTTGTGTTAGTTCTGACACCCAGGACATCTAACCACTATCTTCCCAGCCAATTCCAGGAATTAAAGCTAGTAGGAGAGGAATTGTAAAAGCCTGTTCCCAGACTGAAGTCAACAAGAGCCCATCTGACTAATTGGACTTTGGAGAAGGTCCAGAATGGCACAATTCCAAAATCTGCCTTGCGTGAAACACCACTGCAAGCGCTAGAATGAAACTGGTTATGCACGATAGGAGGATTCCTTCCCCTGTCTCCGTCTCTGGTCCCATTCCAGGATGGGTGCTGATGAGGAGCTAGTGGAAAACTCACCTTCTGTTCTCCACCTGGAGCGTTTTCTGTCCATTCACTTCATCCACTGCTCATGGTCTTTGGAGCCTGCCAGCAACAATTGAAAATGTAATAGCAGAACTCCAGAAGTGGCGTTTGAGCAGAGCAAATCACCGTTTGATCTGTGTTTGTTGTAGCTATTTGGCTTTCCACTCTGCACATTAACAAATACCAATAGGAACTGTACACGGAATTTCTCCTAGAAACCGCAAAGGGCTATGGCCAAAGACATGAACTACTTGGCTAGGTCACCTTGGAAAGCACTTAGCAGCGAAAGACAGAGAAACTATTCAAAGAGATATATTAGTTTAGTTTACCTAAGTTTCTCTTCATGTTTGTCCTTCAAAAAAAAAAAGATTAGAGGGTTTGTTATGATGTTTGTTATTAGAGGGTTATTTAAATCAAGTTTCATTTCCTCCATCTGAATTTGCAATTTTAGGACAACGATACAAAAAATGGTCACTAACAGCTGCACTTTGTGCATTTCACCCAGCGCCTTTCACAACATCAAGGCAGCACGTGTACCTTGACTACAGCGTGCTCCCCGTTTCCTCAAGCATCCCAGCCTTAGCTCCTTGACCCAACAGTTGTTTCTTCTGTGTGTACCTTTTGGGGGCCTTTTAACAGATACCTCCATGGTCAGCAGCGCAAGACAGGGGTTGCCTTTTCTGTCGCTTGCAACCAGTTGGGGCATCACTGCTGCCCTCTTGGTGCCACTACAAGCTAATAATTAATCACAAGAAGAGCACCTTGCAGTGACATTAACGGATGGCCCATGGCTTGCTCTGGTTTGCATCACCGCGTTAATCGTTTCTGTTCTTGGCCCGCTCCAGCTGGCTCGGCCCGGGGAAGATGCGCGCCGCGGTGCTCGTGCTCCTGCTGTCCGTGGCCGACGTCGGCGCCTCGACGGACGCGGCGCAGCCGGGACGGGGGCCTCGGCGCCTCTCGTGCGTGCGGTGCTGCCGCCCCTCGGAGCAGCCCGTCCCCGTCACCTCCTCGCGCTACACGAGGATGAGCAATGACCCTGCCTACTCGCTTCCCAAAGTGCAGCCCACGATAGATATCACCATCCTCAAAGGTGGGTAAAGAGGACTGTCCTGGGGACATCCTGCCAGTCTGCTGTCCTTGTTTTGTGAAGAGAAGGCTGAGAGGGGATCTAATCAGTGTCTATAAGTACCTCAAGGGAGAGAGTGAAGAGGATGGTGCTGGTCTCTTTTCAGTGGTGGCCACTGACAGAACTAGAGGTAATGGCCACAAACTGAAGCACCAAAAGTTCCACAGGAACTTAAGGAAAATTTTTTTAACAGTGAGGGTGCCAGAGCACTGGAACAGGCTGCCCAGAGAGGTTGTGGAGTCTCCTTCTCTGGAGATCTTCAAACCCGCTTGGACGCAGCCCTGTGCCACGTGCTCTAGGTGACCCTGCGTGTGCAGGGGTTGGACTAGATGATCTCTAGAGGTTCCTTCCAACCTTCAGCATTCTGTGATTCTGTGATTCTGTGCGCCACTGACCCTTGCTGAGAAACCTGTTTTGTATTATTTACTGAACCAAAAATGTCAAAGGGTGATATGACACGGGTTATAAATGTCTGCAAGCAAGAAGAGATCCCGAGAAAGTCCTAATCCATCAGAAAAAGGCAATGTGAAACTGCATCACTGGAAGTTCAGGTTAGACCACACAAGAAACCAGCTGCAAATGTTATCTCAGAACTACTAACTGGTAGAATAAGGTATAAAGAACAAGGAAGCACACTCACTTTTTCCATATCACATTTTCGTGGCATGGAGGCGCTGTTAAAAACCTCGCTAACTAGGAGCTTGTTGGTGTCATTAGGACTGCCCACACCTGGGACCTGCTGGCAGGAGCAGCTTGTTCATGCAGCAAGTGGCACTCGGTAAGAGAGCATCACCTCCTGATGATGCAAAGCTGAGGTTTAGAAGGGGACCAATGTCCAACTAATGCCTGATACCTGTGCTTTCAAAATGGTGTTTTAGCAGGTGCTTTGTGGTTGTCTCCAGCTGGATGTGTCTGCAGCTAGGGCTGCACATGTCTGGGACTGACAAGTTTTCCCTTTATGCTCACAGGTGAGAAGGGTGAAATGGGAGAAAAAGGGTACCCCGGAGCAGTGGGAAAGGAAGGAGAGAGAGGCCTACGTGGCTTTAATGGACGAAAGGGCCAAAAAGGCCAGCCTGGTCCACAAGGCCATTCCTGCAAGCAGCTCTATGCTGCTTTTTCAGTGGGTCGCAGAAAACCCCTTCACAGCTCAGACTATTTCCAGCACGTCACTTTTGACATGGAGTTCGTGAACCTCTACAAGCACTTCAACATGTTCTCGGGGAAGTTCTTCTGCTACGTGCCGGGAATCTACTACTTCAGCCTCAACGTCCACACCTGGAACTTCAAGGAGACCTATCTGCACCTGATGAAGAACGAGAAAGAGGTGGCCATCCTCTACGCGCAGCCCAGCGACCGGAGCATCATGCAGAGCCAGAGCCTGATGCTGGACCTGCAGGAAGGAGAGGAGGTCTGGGTGCGGATGTTCAAGCGAGAGCGAGAAAATGCCATCTACAGCGAGGAGGCCGATGTTTACATCATCTTCAATGGCCATCTCATCAAGCCAGCCGTAGAGTAGCTCTTCTTTGGCTTTGGGCTCCAAGCTTTGGTAGGGATTTTGTCAGCTGCATTAACGTTTTCCCTCTTAGAATTGCGTTGTCTAGCTCCCTTGGAAGGACTATGACCGGCAGCATCTCGGTGTGCGGATGGGGTTGCCTGTGTGCATGGAGGGGTGACGTCTTGAGGTGTTGCACAGAGAAGGTTTCCGTCCTCACGTGCCCATGGTGCACATGAAGCACCAGTCTGCAGCGCTGCAGAGATCCCCAGTTGCATCTCCACCCGATTAGTGTGCCCGGTCAGCAGCAAAAAATTAACCACTTGGCTCTGCTTTAAAGATGACATTTTAATTAGATCTAAGGACCATCTTCAAATACCGGTTATCTGGGTGCCAGTTAAGGAATGTAATTACTCCCACAGCATTACTAAGACATCTTTGCAACGTGCAGTAACTGCTAATAACATGAAGAGTCTGTCACTGCAGCCGGGCCGGGCAGCAAGAATGCAGCACTGCATATTTTGCACAGTACGTTACCCTAAATTATGCTCTTGTTCCATTCCATATAAAACGACGTTCTGAGAACATAATATGAGAATTGCATAAGTAACAGCATACTGATCTGGCAAGGCTTTTTCAGAGGCACAGAGTTTAAGGATAGATGTTTCTGCATGCAGTGGCTCTGCTGGACTGCTGTATTCTTAACCACAAGAACAACCAGCATGGGTGGAAATCTCTATTTTCCATTTCAGTGAAAACTGTGGGCCCTACTTTAGCATCTGATTTACGAGTGCCCATTGCTGAGTGGGGATGTAAGGACATCAGCATGTCTGAACGCTGCCATCTGATAGCATCCTCATTCCTGGAAATTGGAGAAGAAAAACAGAAAGAAAAAAATGTTTTATTGCAAAGAGTGATTTTTATTTTTGTAAAATGTGCTGACTAACCAGTGGAAAGGCACGTGCAGCAGCAAGAAGCCTTATTTCAGCAGCTCCTCTTCCCCAGGCCCCCGTCTCGTTTGCCTTGTATGAAGGATAGAGCAAAAGTTCTTGCTGCAGAGGCCGCTTTGCTGCTTCACCTCCTCTCACTGCCGCTGTTCAGAAAAGTTGCTAAAATAAAGGCACTGCTTTGAGTACATTGCCTTTGTTTATCTTATTTCCATTCGCTTTTCACAGTACTGGACTAAAAGCAGTAGACTGAACATCTAGTCCCACATAATCACCTAGGGTGGCAGTTTTATTTAATGCCAAAGGACTCCAGAAACTACAGTGACCCCTTCAATTCCTTTCCTTGCAGGCCAGTGAACAGGCATCGTCTGGCATAAAGCTGGGGAAGCAGAGAAATTAATGCCCCCTTGCTGAAAAATAGATACCAAACCTTTTAAAGGTCTCACAACCTTAGTGAAGAGAGGCACTTTTAACTAGCTTGTCTGCATAGTAATAAATGCATGGAGAAAATGGGTCCAGGGGCCTTGAAACAGCAGGTAGCAACTTGCAAAGTGGGAAACTCACAGCTTTAAAAACATGCTCCCAAGGGGCAGCAAAGATGTTTTATGCAGATTCTCTGCTAGCCTGCTGTCAGCTACCCCTGAACTTAGGTCAGGCCATTGCACAGTGTTGCCTTTTTCTCCTTTTATTTTTTTATCCTTTAAAAAAAAGGAAAAAAGAAAAAAAAAAGCTTCCTAATCAGCAGTTTCCATTAGGGTGGTGGTAAAAGCCCTAATGGCTGCACTGCTTATTTGCAGGCTGCCACTTAGCCCTGAAAGCTGTAGCCAGGAGATGCCAGCCCTGAGCAAGCTGGCCTCGGTGCTGGCATTTGCACATCACTTTGCCCCAGCCCTCAGTCACGCAGCAAAGAGCCTTGAAAGCTTTTTTTGCCTTCATTTCTACCTCTCCCCCTGCTCGAGCCCAGGTTTTGCAGCTGCAAACAGTCGCACCTCGCTGCATGGCCGCGTTTGGGGACGCAGGGACGTGGGGACGGCGCCAGGACGCCCGCGGCAGAGCAGGGACCGCTCAGCACGGCCGAAACCGCCACGGGGCTGTGGAACATCCGTGACGTCTCGAGTGGAATCGGCTGCTTCGTCTCGGCCCCCTCTCTGTAGCTCCCTGCATCAGCTATGGCTACAAAGAAGGAAACATCAAGGCCTCTTCAAATGTCATCCCCAGCTGGAGCTATTGACAGCGCTTAATCCAGCGCTGGAAAACACACAGAGAGGGATCGGGCTTAACCTGCACCAAATCTGGAAACGTTACTTGCTGCCAGGAAGCACGGAAAAATGCATGTATACATACCTGTGTATCCATATGCATCTCTTCCTGACACCTCCATAACATGCAATTAGACCAATTGCCTATGTAATAGCACACATTCAAAATGCTCTTGGTTGGTATGTCAGTGTGATAAGCAGGTAAACCACTAGACCCACATTTATTTAGGGTGCAGAATAAGCTTCAAACAAATAAAAGTGGTTGCTGCTTCGTGCACTTGTATACTGTTAGCTATTTCTGTTAGAGAACTGGAATTTTCACTTCATACCAGAAAAAAACAAACAAAACCCCTGGCATTAAAGGCTGCACAGCTGGGCTGAGTAGCCTGTGCTGCAAATGAAGCCTCCTCTTCAGCTTGGCATTCAAGTGCATAGTTTCCAATACAGATATATAGGAGATACACATGTACTATTCATTGTAGAAATGCACATTTCTATTAGGGCTTTATTGGCTTTGTCTACACATGCAAAAAAAAAGGAAGCTTTTTAAAAAAATATAACTAAAAACAATCATGTGCTACAAAATTCTGGCAGCCACCTTTTGAATACATCTATCATTTTTTCTCCAGCTTCACGGGCTGGAATAAGCATCCCTGTTTGGAGACATTCAATGAGCCAAACCCAAAGTACAAATATTTGAGATCTGCTCGTCAACGTACAGGCACTTTGCCAGGGCCTCTCGTATAGCAGAACTTAAATTCCTTTGTTCCAGCAATACGTGGCGTGGACGTCTAGATGAAAAAAAAAAAAAAGGGAAAAAGAAGAGAAAAGGAAAAAGCTTTAAGTAGTGCAGAGAGCAGTACTGTACACAGAAATGATGAAACCGTCTCCACTACTGTAAATCCCAGGTACATTTTATTAATAATTTATTATCTCTCATGGATCTCTTTCACCTAAGAATCATTGCAGAAGATAATTCCCCGTGGTACAAGGCCATTGTGAAACCAGCTTGACTAAATAACCTGCCTTTTTCCCCAGAGTGCAGCCAGAAGGGGCTAAGAAATCTGGGACGCAGGTGATGCTGATGTGAGCGTGACGAGGAGCAGGACCAGGGCTGCCCAGGCCAAAGCTGCGGGGAGAGGAAAGCACCAGGTGAGAAGCAGCAGCCTTGGAGAACCTGCCTGGCACAAGGAGATGGAAATGGACATGGAGACACCCCAGCACTTGTTTTCTGACCACGTATATGCACTATATTTGCACTTACTACCTCTAGGGAGGAGATAAACTTCTAACATCCTCCAGAGCATCACATCCCAAGGGAGGGAGCTTGCACGTTATCTGTCCTTGCTTGCAATATGAGGACAGATCAGGCTGGCTTGATCTGCAAGATCATGGACCTGAAAAGTAATAAATGGGAGAGAGCAAGGAAATGACCTGCTCTGCCTGCAAGAGGGTGAGATTTATGTGCAATATTAGGGAAAAAACATTTTGACTAAAAGGAGAGTCAAAGCCCTCAAGTGGCTGCAGCAAGAAAGATAAGTCCTTGATCCCTAAAAGCCTTTGGAGGCACCCTAGGACCTGCCAAGAATGATAAAGGTGGCCCTAGCTTAGGGCTGAGGAAGGAGCTGCATAGCTGCACAGTGTCCCTTTAACCTTCTTTTGCTAGGTTTAAGTTTCAGCCTTTTATCCTAGAGGAAAGTAGGAAAAAGCCGCAAGAAAGAATATCCCCTGAAATCCACCATATGAGAAAGTTAAACCAGACCTGCCTTTGCATTGTTCTAATGTGTTCCAGCTGTAATTTCAAATATTGTAAACTTAAACATAAGAAACCCCGCAGCAAGAGCTCAGTAATTACTAGGAATCTATCTGCCCCATTGGATCCTAAGCCTAGGTCTGTCTTATGACTTCCAAATGTGCTCATTCATTATCCTCTCTTCGATGATTGCAGCAAATGAAGCATTGCAGGATTGCTGCACAGCCCTTACCTAGCTACATAGTCACTCTGCAACTTGCTTTTGCTCGTTTTCTTAGTTTTAGTGCCTGGAGGTGCAAGACAGGAAAAAGTCCTCATGCTATGGAATAGACTTGACCTAAAAAAACACTCCTCCTAGCTCAAACAACATCTAACTTCTAACAGAGCCTGACCCTCTTCCCATTTTCCTGGGGAGCTTAAAATAGTGCAGCTTTTTAATTTTTTTTTTTTCTTGAAGCCTCTTTCCCCTTCCCTCCTGCGCTTTTTTAAGGCAAAAAGGGAAAAGGTGAGTGAGCAGCTCTCTGTATAGCAGGCAGCAGAGGACATGGTGCCCACCTGCATCTGCCTTAATGAGCTGGGGATTAGATAAGGCAGCAGCAAAAGCTCTGCTGCCCCTTGGGCTTGGGCAGGGTGTTTGGGATAGGCTCCATGAGGAGGCTGCTCAGGAGAAACTGGGGGTGAGGATTTTCCTAAAATCCATCTGTAAATAATGCTGTGGCTACTCAGAAATGTTCTCAGGAAAGCAGTGCTAAGGGGCCTGTAAACCTGGTTGTGACGAGCAGCTGGTGCAAGGGCTAATAGTGACTGTCCAGTGTTGAGTGGTCTCAGTGTCAAACAGCAGCAAAGAAACTGAAATCTTGATGTGCTTCTTGTTTTCTCCCCTTGCTTTGCTGTTTCTGGCATGCTGCTTCTGTTCAGCTCCTGCTCTTCTCCACTGCTGTCTTGTCCAAGTGGCTAAAACTTCTAAACTGGTCCTCGACTCTGGAAGATCATTTTTGCAAAGCCAAAACAAGACTCGAGAGGGTGAGTGGTTGTGACTGACTGTCTTGTCTGCAGCTCTGTGCTTGGCATCCTCAAAGCCGCGTGAGATCAGGGCTGGAGGCTCATTCACAGCCCCCTGTGCTGGCCACCAAAGCCATCTTGGTGGCCACCAAAGCCTTCTCCCTTCTGG